TCGTCTTGATGCGCCACAACCCAACCTCCTTGACGGAGTCGCGCTTTTCTTTGTTGCCCAGACACTTTCTGCACTTCCTCCTTGTCAGGTCGTTCTTGTAAGAAAAAGCAGTTTCAGCTTTGTTCTGGGCGAAAGGCCGTCTTCCAGGCGCTCAGGTGCAGCAGGATTGTTCCTCTTGTCCCGCACGGAGTAGACCCAGCCGACCGCCAAGTCATTTTCTTCATCTCGAAGACCTCTCTTCAAGACCTTGCTGTCGGGGCCCCTGCGCTCCGCGGAGTCTGTCCACGTCCAAGACCTCTTGAGAGAAGGGAGGGGACCGTCTTGTTCACGCCGCTGCTGTTTCTTCTTGGATTCCAGCCACTTCACCTGGAGCGCCGAGACCTCTGAGCTTTTGTTCGCGACCAAAATGCGCCAGCACTCCAGGCCCAGAGCGCCTTTGCGTGCCTTCACCACCAGCTCGTGTCTGAAGCCCGCGGGGCAACCACATGTCCTGCTCAAAGATTGCCCTCCAACCTTCCCACGAACTTGCCGGGCTTAAACCACTTGATCCTGCAGCTCCTCTAGAAAGCGCACGCGTTGAAGTATGCCTCTCGAGCGCCCAGGTCCTTGACAAAGCACATTTGCTTTTAATCAGGACAGCGGGCTGATCCGAAGATTCCCTACTGCCTGTTATCAGGAGGACTCAGGTCCTTGACAAAGGCCTGCACCTCCAGCAGCCGTCTGGTCTGGTCCGCCTTCCGTGTCTGGGGAACATCCTCGCAGATTCGAGTCGCCAACAGCGTGCCCTCATCTGCCTGCCTCTGCAGCTTGGAGTCGTTCGAGGCGAGCCTGTAGATCTCGGTTTTGCTCTTACAGGGCGCGGTCCAGGCCCTGCGATGTTTCCACCGAGCTGCCGAAAAGGTCCCACTCTCACGGCGGACCTGCATGTCCAGCGTCCCAGTCCCCCGCCTCGGCTTCTGCGCAAAGCAAAAAGAAAGGCTCGTCCGCCAGGAGGTTCTCCTTCGGGACTTCGGGTCTCTAGTCAGGTCCACGGACCGGACCTCCACTTGCAAGCCTGCTTTCCCCGCTCCCTCGCGACCATTGCCCAGCACATCGTTCTTCTCCGCAAAAACGCGGAAGGCCCTCTTGAACCACGCAAAGTCGAGCGCCTTCTGAAGCGTCGTCCTCGCGCGATCCGGCAGTCAGGGGCCCACATCGCTCAGACCAGGCCCTTTGCTTCCGCCGGCGAGCTCAGCCGTCCACCAATGGCCAGTGCAGCACACTGGCACCCCACACGCGCAAACAGCGCAACCCAAGGCTGGGCAAGGCAAGTCGAGCAACCCTCTGTGTTTTCACATGAGCGGGCAGGCATCGTTGCGGTGAGACGGCGACAAGCAGAACCGGCATTTATGGGCCCCTTTAACAGGGCACTTACATTTGCCTCCCGGAGGCACATCTGCACAGGGGCCGGTTCCAGACGACCAGCTGAAGCAAAGCTGCAAGCCCGACTGATCCTTGGTCTTCCCTTTGCCGCCGGCTTTGTTCTTGAAGTCGCTTCTTCTTTGCAGCTTGCTTGTCACGGTTTGTCGTCCTTGGTGAGCGTCTGGAAACAGGTCGAGAATTCTCCTCCCAGTCCGCCGGCATTTGCCACGCGCGCGACAAGATTGCGCCTGATCTTCTCCAGCCTCTCGGCCCTCTTCTTGTCCTCGGCCTGACAAATCAAACCCCAAGCCGTGGGCCACTGGATCACCAAAAGTTCCGCCATCTTGTCGTAGTTAGGCAAAGCCGTCAAAGAGACTATCCCCAACATCAATCAGGCCGTCTTGAACACCTTCCAACACGACAGCCACTGCTGAAAATGCTGCGGGCCTGGCAACTCTCTCATATAAGGAAGCTTCCATCGCCCAGCGATGTGTAGACGCAAAATTTCTGTAACTTGAGCACTCTTTTTCCGAAAGAAACCCAGACGCCAGAATTGACGCACGGAGCCTGCTTCAGGAGGATGACCCTCTTATGAAGACCAGCTAGCTGAGACGACGTAGGTTCTTCTTCCTCTTCCGGCAGGCCGCCCATGAGCAAAGTGTACCTTTGCAACCAGGTTTGAACCAAGCTGTTGTCAGGAGGCAGGAGCTCGCGCTCATCGGTCTGATCCACCAGCGAGGCCATCTTGAGCACGCTTTCCTTGACCGCAGCCTGCACTGGTTTAGGGGTCATGCCAGCGGAGGCTTGCGTATCCCTCGGGTCGATGTGCACGAACTCGTCCTCATTGCCCCCGGCCTTCAGAAACGCCATCTTCCTGCATGAGCGCCAAACCATCCCCAACCGAGCTGCCTGCACCACTGAAGCGCCCCTCAATGGCGCCACTTTGGCCCCACAAATCGCCTGTGCGATCGCCCACTTTGTCAAGGCAGCAACCTGCCGAGTGCCGCCCCCAGTGTCGCCCATCACGTCTGTCAGAACCTTCCATAATGGCGAGGCCACTCCCAGCAGCGTCAGCAAGTCCTGCAGGTTGCTGCAAGCCTGAAGTTCGGCCTTGCCCGGCAAGATGCTCATCGAAGGCAGCTCGCGCCCAAAACTGCACCGCCCATGCAAAAGAAAGCAAAGGGAGGTTGCTTTGCTCGGGCCCTTGAGGCTCAAGCTTCAGCGGACTTTTAGGCAATCTAGACCCACCCTCCTCCCTATTAGCAACTCGTGGGTCGTGGGTTGCCTATGCTCATGCTATTCGCTTCAGGCAACACTCATTGCAAATCAGTCCCCACCCTCCGCCCTAGGAAAGCAGACGGAAGCAGCGCGTTCCTTTTTTCATTGGCTGGTGATCGGTTCTGCTTCATGAACCCGACCCAAGCCCAGGGCATTGGCAACATCATTCGTCTTGATGCGCCACAACCCAACTTCAGGGCTGGGTGGGAAAAGAAGGCAAAGGGAAGTTGCTTTGCTCGGGCCCTTGAGGCTCAAGCTTCAGCGGACATGTAGGCAATCTAGACCCACCCTCCTCCCTATTAGCAATTCGTGGGTTGTGGGTTGCCTATGCTCATGCTATTCGCTTCAGACATGATGAAAATTAAAAATCGTGACAATCACAAAAATGAAAAAGCAATTATGCAAATTTGTGAAATTTTCTGAAAATGACAGAAAACTAAGAAAGATAACGAACATCACAAATAGACAAATGAACATTGAGGGGGTCGGGCGCCTAAGCGAGAGAAAACCAACCCTGACCCCAGCAGAATGCACATGCCCTGCTGCGACCTTCCACTGCCTCAACCTTCCAGAGGGGTCTAGAGACGACCTGACCTTCTAGTTGGTTAGGGAACCTGGGTGGCCTAACCCCAGCCAAAAAGCCAAGAAGCCAAAAAGCCAAGAGGCCAAAAACCCAAGCAGCCAACGAAAGAAGGCAGAAGTCAAGTCAGTGATCAAAATGATGGAAAAAGATGGAAAAAGATGGAAATAATGGAAATGATGGAAATGAGGAAAAAGGACGGAAGCGATAGAAAAAAACTGAAAAACATAAATAAAAAAAAAAAGAGAACAATCATAGAAAAATATGAAAATGAATGAAGAATCATGCAACTGAAAAAATATGAGAATTATAGACACGTATTCAAAACTATGGAAAGACAAGACAATCGAATACGTTCCACGCCAGGCCACCCTTGAGCCACCCTCCCCAAAAATAGAGATATAAAAAAAATGAAATCGTCCCTCCGCCCGATATCCCCAAAGAAGGGTGCTAGGGGGGTGGCCTGCAGTCCAAAGCTGCTTCCATTTGTTGAAGTTTGTTCTCATGGTACTCAGGCCCGTTCGCCATAACTTTATCCAAAACTCTGGCAATACAAGTTTATATACTGGTTATGTTTTGCAAGGCTCCTTTATTTGGTTTGGGGTTCAGGGTTCGGACTACTACTTGGGGGTCTCCTGTAGGGTTATACATCGATAGCACCTGTACTGCACCAGAGACGAGCAGCAAGAATCAGTGCCAGGATTTGAGGCTGTTTGGGGGCAGGTAAGGAGCCAACCAGGCCGGCCATCGCCGCAGGCTCTAAAAACACAACACCAAACGAAAACCAAAGAGATTCCAATGAACTACCTCAAAGATACATCGAACAACTTCTGAATTATCAAAATACCAAAACAACAAGAACCGGAATAAAATCGGAATGGAGGTGGAGGAGGAGGAGGAGGAGGAGGAGGTGGTGGTGGTGGTGGTGGTGATGGTCATTGCTGATTGCTGTTGCATGCCTCGGGCTGGCTCTATGCCTTGATGCTCGACCGCATCAACCTGGCAGCATATTTCACTGCAACATGCAGACATGTCTCGACCTGCCTGAGCCCCTCTTGTGCATCTTCGCGGAGTGGAAACATAGCGTTGAACCACAAAGGGAGATGGCCTCAACAAAGAAGGCGTGCAATTTTGAACTCATCAACGTCTCCTACATGCTGTGCTCCAAGCTGGGCTGGTGGGGTCGTAGACCGCGGTGGCTGCATTGGCTGTGCTGGCAGAGGCGTACCCTGACCTGGGCTGTCAAGCCCATCCTGCTGCAGGACATGCCTGTCGCACTGGCTACCATGGCTACCACGCTGAGCTTCGCTGCACTGTGCTGGTCCACGCCGGTGCGTCACGTCCAGCTCCTGCAGTCAGAGCTTGGGCGGAAAGTGTAGGCATCGGCTTAGAGTTTCCTCTTCATCCAGCGGATTCAAAGCAGACTTCGCCTAAGTTTCAGCATCTTCTTGGGCTAACCTATCCTTGCCGTACTTTCGCCCAAGACCCTCAGAAACCTCAAAAAATACGTCCGCACGGTCTGGTCGTGCAGACTTGGTCTTACAATTGCAACCAAAACTTGTGCCGGTCTGTACCTGAAACCCACGGAACGAAATCAGTCGTCTGGCGAGGCAACAGACTTACCGCATCACCGGGGCGTGGGCTGGCGGGGATAGACGACTCCCACCATCTTAGATTTTGCAGACTTGCTGGCTGACAAGGTCTCTGATACACAGAGTCTGTTCGGCTTGTTGAGCCCAAGGCCGGGAGAGTCTCCACACGCTGCCTGACATGCAACAATACAATGCTCAAAGCCTCCCCCCAAAAAACCAAGTTCACCATCAACTGCTTGCAGCCCACATCTTGCCTTTGACTTTGCAAGGAAGATCTGAGTGCAGGTTTTGTGTGGATCCCCAACTTGGCCGGGCCGACAGGCGGAGAAGGCACGGGGAGAGTTGGCAACTCAGCAACCTGGAAAGCTTTGCACCACATGTTCTCTCTGAGGTCCTCGGGCCATGTGCCGGGCTAGAAAGTGCTCCTGCACGCTCGCGACCAGCTGCGGCGGAGGCAGCTGTGGCATCGGTCCCTTCAGGCACTTTGTTCATTGCAACAATTGAGGCCATATCCTGTTGTGCCTCCAGTCTCTGAATGGGGCTCAGAACCGGCTCCGTTTCCAGCAACTCGCCGGTTGGCCTCAAGTTGTTCCCAACCCCCACCATCCCCAGCATGTCCAACTTCACAAGCTGAATCCCAGGCTCCGTGTCAACCACCGGACCACTAGCCTGACCCAGGCGAGCTGCAAAGTATACATCTATGAAAAACAGCAACTGAAGACAGCCTCCTTGCCCAAAGCGCATCTTCGAAGCTCATCTTGCAAGGCGGCCTCATTGCAAAAAGAACTCCAGCCTCACACATCCATCAGCCCAGTGGCGTGCTGGGCAGCGCGCTATCTGGGCATCTTTGACTCCGAGCAGTGCGTTCAATCGTGCTGTCTCCGCCGAGACTTCCTTCAACGCAAGTGACAGCTAGCAGGACTCCCAAACTCCAACCGGGAGGCAACACTAGCCTGAAGAGCACTCTTGCGCTGCGGCCGCGTCACAAGATATGACCTACTCACTGACCCCACATGCAAGAACTCAGTAAAGAACTCCCTTCAAAAGCCAGGATTCCTGCGGTATGGAAGGTTTGGCCTCTTCGGCAATCTCTGCATCGTAGTCCTCACTAACAAAAAGGAAAAGGCAAGGAGCTGGCTGAGGTTGCTGAAAGCTGGAAATCTCGAGGTTGCCCAAATAAGATATACATCCGTGGCTACTGAGGCTGGAAAAGAAGAGTTGGAGTTCAAACCACATGTTTCCACATGCAGAGAAGCTAGCTGGTCCTGCAGGCTGTCCTCACAGTTCGCGTACTTGGTGGACAGATTCTGTCTAACAGGACTGTCGCCCGACTCGAATGCTTCAGGGTCAACCACCTCTGCCAGGACTGGCTCGGGGCTGGAGGCCCAGGGCTCGAAGCTGGCAGATTTCTCAATCACTGGCGATGTGTCTGACTGGGGATCTGCAGGCTCGGTGGTCTCTTTCGCTGCATCAGGCTCCTCGCATCTGAGGAGGTGCTTGCCATTCTCTGAAATCAAGCTGATCCGGGCTTTTGATGCCGGGTGCTCCCAGCACCAATTCAGGTGCCTCTCGGTGGTTGAGAAAAGAAGCTTCCCATCAACCAGCACTTTCTTCTTGCCGCTGAGGCGACTATGCTCCAGTTCAATTTTGACTTCAGTTTCGCCAAGGTGCAGCGTCCAAGCATGGCGGAGCTTCGTTGACTTAACAGTGCGTCCAATGTGGTCCACCTTGTAAGATGGAGAGCGGGACGTCACGCCTCCCATGTGCTTAGTTTTCCGCAAGGAGAGCTACTGTTCTGCAACAGCGAGCAGTACTTATCCATGCCCTGCCCAGTCTGATCAGCAGCCATTGCTGCTTGCTGCAGATACAGCACCTGCATCCTCGAACGTCGCTGTCGAGGATGGTGTTGCTGCCTTCGCATGAGCAAGCGTGAACATCATCAGCCATTCTAGGCAAGGACATCTTGGGACGTTTGTTCTTTGCTAGCGATCAGCCAAGGTCTGTAGAATTGCAACATTGTGCCATCCATAGTGTTCTCCGTCTTGGAGACTCAGACCTCAACTGAAAGAGTTTATTACTGGGAAAAAACTATAGCTCGTCTCTCCCTGCGAGACGATCTCGAAAAGGAAGCCACTGTTTGCACTCACACGGCGGCTCGCCAACTTCTCCAGTGGGGTCACGAAGGCAAATCTTCGGCCACCTGCCTCCCTCATGTGCTGGAGCTTGACTGGTGCCCACCTATTTGCGGGCAGAGAAGCTGCCTCCTCTTTGGACACCGATATCGCGGAGCCAAACTCCTGTCTTTGCAGCAAGATCAGTCATTGAAATACTGCAAACCTTGAAGCCGTTTGCACACTCAAGGTATCTCAAGGTGAACAAGAATACATCTGAATTCTGAACTCATGCTTCCAGGTCTCCAGCAGGGCAGGCTGACGCTGCCGCGTAGTGGAGGCAACGGAGTTCATGGCCACCAGCCGATCAGCGAGGTTGAAATTGGCCAGCGCGCCAAGATTCAAAACCTGCTGCTCTGCGTATGTCAACTCTGTCTCAGCACTCTTTGGAAGATGTGGTAGCGGGTGCAGGAATGCCACAGCCACAGCATCCTCGTGCAAATTTGCAACTCGTCGTGTCTCGGGATCAAGCGTCACCCGGATGCCTGGAGACAACTTCACCTCAAACTTCAAGCCCCGCATGACCAGAATGCCATCTTGGCAACTGTTCACACCATCCGATCGCAGTCTCAAAGGCTCCTGGAGCTCCAATTTGGGGCAGTCTTCCAGTCGAGACACAAAAAACGGAGACAGTTTCTTGGGAAACGCATCGGTTGCTGGCAGGATGTGTGCAAACCTTGTAGCAATCCGCTGCCAATCACCAGAGCGGTCGACTGCTGCAAAATATTGTAACTTTGGGGTTGAAGCTGAGTTGTCGATGCTGGCCAAAAAATCGGCGTGCGGTGTCAATGTCAGCACGGACCTCTCAGCACGTCTAAGGAGGCAGACAATAACCTGCAGATAAAACAAAACCGATGGATTGAACAATTATGATCAATGCCCGTCAAGCCTTTCTACGGCTTCGATGCTCGCCACCAACGTTGATTCAGGAATGCTTCTCCCGGTTTGCTTGGCCCTGTCTGCAACCCGTTTGCGGATAATCTCTTCCTGACAGCTTGCTGCGTTCCAGCCGCAAACCCAATATCTGCAGCAACAAATAACTGAGGACCCCGCAGGCGCGGTGACTTTGAAAATCGCTATCTGATACGCTGGGTAGCGCATACGGATGTCACTGAAAACATTGACGAACCACTCCGCATTGCCTTGGTTGCTTTATAGCAACGCAGCAGAGAAGATAACCAGCAGGCATCTCATTCGCTACATCTGCATCATTCTGCATCCCAACCAAGGTGCGCAGAGATCCGTCCACCCAGATGTGCTGGGATCTTCTCAATGACTCCTCTAAAGCGATTTCTTGCATGTAGCAACTTTCGCGATGGCAGCGATTGCCCGGTATGTCAGGATTGCCGCGTTTGCGGCCATGCTCCAGGTACACTTCCCATTCTGGCATCACTTGCTTGAAATGATCCGGATCAATATGCACGATATCTTCCAGAGGGAAGATTCCATTTCGCGACATCCAGGCCAGTGCAAAACCTTTACCCACACCCATGGCGCCACAAGTGAAAACGAGCCTAGGACGATGCTGCTCGGTTGTTCTCTGAACAACTGTGGCAAGCACACTGTCCTGCCAAACCTGGCGATCGACTGTGTAACGGCCATGGTATGCGTGGTCACGTGTAGCCTCAGTGAACAACTATTGTCAACTTATTGTACTCCTCAAAGCTGGGAGGCTAGCACTGTTTCTAGGTCTGGTAAAAGTACGGTGAAGTTGCCCATGTACATGGCGTGTTCGATTCCGGTTTGTTTGTTCAACAAACAGCCCAAACTTTTCTGGGCTCCCTTCATTTCCCTTCCTACTGTGGACCGAGGTCAACCAGGAACGGCGTTCAAGCAGAGAGATGACAGGAAGCAAAAGCGTGACAAAATCTGTCAGGCTATGTGAGAGGCGAGCTTCCCGAATCTCGGCAAAAGGACCCACAAAGGGCGCGGCATCCTGGCAACGTGCAGAGAACGGGAGTGAGTAAACCTCTTAACACCAAAGCACCTTTTGCTGGGCAACTTTCTGCAAATGACTCGAAAAGTTGTATTCGCGCTATGGAAGGTTGATCGCAGTCAAGCGGGGATTGCATCTGCCTTGAGATGTAGGGGCATGGTATTGGTGTTGAACGGTTTTCAGAACACATAATTTTCACTTGTCTCCGACAGCTGGACACCTAGAGAAATGAAACAGAAAATGGCGAGGAAGTTTCAGTCCCGAGGTAGCACCTTTATAACTGTGCGCAGGGATACACTGACTAAGAACACCGGGCAGGATTTGAATACGATGGCAAGTGTCCGAATGATGGTTGTCTGCTGTGTCCACGTCCAGGTTGTAACTGGAAGGGACGCAAGGCTGTGTTAGGTCCGGAAACTGCACCACTCGCCGAATGTTCCGCAGGAAAAAACGATTGCGGATGGTCTGCACGAAGTGATCCTCCGTCATGACGTGACGCCCTTCCTGATACAGCAGGATGTCAGACTATGCTGGCCCTACCAAAGGCAGAACTGTCATGGTTTAGGATCTGCACAGAGACATCAAGTGCTCTTGGAACAAATGCAGTCAAGCCTCAAAAAATGCAGCGACCCCCACAACCCCATACAACCCTTGACCTGATCCATCTCATGCCATGGCGCGGAGGTCACGACCATCTCAAAAATGCGCTCGAGCTCTTGAAAGGTCAGATCAATATGCAGGAGCGACTGGCAAAGAATGGCAAACTCGTCCTTGTCCAGGCCCCTACTTCCGTCTGCGAGCGCAGACTGAAACAGCTGCCTGAGCTTCTTCTGCTGGCTGGCTCCACACAGACCACTTACAATTCACCACACACATGACCAAAACCAAAGCCAGGTTACCTTAGAGCCTCAACATCTTCCAGATCTGGGGGTTGCCTGACCTCTGGTCCGTGCTCTCGCCGAGCACGCTTCGTCTGTACCCCTGCCAGGCGAGGCCGGGGGGCCATGTGGGCCATACCAACATGAAATCTACAAGCAAGAAGCTGCGCCTCCTTTTCCCATGACCATGGCTGGCAACAGCTTTTGCCAACCCCACGATGCTTCACTTTGGCGTGTCAGCGGACTCTTGCGTGGACAGGCCACCCGCAGTGGCTGCCCTCCGGCCCAGGCTCTGACAACACGCACGGGGGGATTGGCACATCGCATGGCTTCATTGGAGCAGAAATCAAAAGCCCAGCAAGAGCCCTGCTCATCTGCATGCGGCTGTAGGTGACTGTACAGTTGACTCCCATCGTTACGGTGCCATTCAAACTGAAGATCCATACAAGCTCAATTTTCAATTGAATTGCACAAGCTCCGCGGCAAATGGCCCCTGCAAATCTACGCACTTGTCAAGCTTCAAACAGAGCTGGCTACGCCTTGCCTTGGGAAGATCTCTGGCAACTGGAGCCGCCCAGTCGGGATCCTTCAGCAAGTGGCAAATGGAAGCCACAAAGAAAGTCGAGCATTCAGTTTCGCTCCTCCAAAGAGACTTCCGAATCGAACGAGCTCCTCTGCACAAATAACTTCAAACGTCATCAGCCGTGCAAGGCCACCACACGGCTCCAATCCCACATGTTCACATGTGGCTGGACCTGGCTCCGTTGAGGGTCGAGCTCGGGCTTGGCATCGCTCCTCAATCTTAAAGACAAGCATGTTCTTACCTTGCCTCGTCAAATCTAAATCTGCAACCTTGTTGTGGTCTTGTCGCGCCACTTCCTCATTCAAATGCAAAGGACGAAGCAGGTCGCAACGCGATCCCGAGGCCTGCCATGCGCTCATCGGGCTTATGGCCTGCTCAGAAGTGTTGTTCTTTGTTTTGGGTTGTGTTTTTAATGTTGTTTTGGTTCTGGCTGTTTTGAAGCCTTGCAGGACTCTACAAGAGGATTGAGGGTCTTATTCCGGGATTATACAGGGACGTGTTAAGACACTCGCATGTATTGACTATCTACGACTTTTCATGCATGGATCTGAGGTCACACCAAAACTGTATCATCTCTCTGGTGAAGAATGCTGTTGATCTTTGGCTAAATATTTTGTTGGCTCCCGCCCAGGCATGGTCTTCATTACAAGCTGAAATCGTGCCAAAAGTGACGACGGCTCTGCGCTTTACAACGCATGCGCGCAAGGTGGCGCTCTGCATCAAAAAAATGCGTATCTTGGCAAGACGGAGTATCATGTACTAAGCAACGCCTCGCTCATGTGGCGCTGTGCGAAGAAGCAGTCACAAGCTGCGGCGCAACAGAGGGGTTTGACAGCGTGCGCTACTGAGTCTCCAAAGCACGCAATTCTGCATGATTAATCTATGCTCTTGATTAGTTTTTCGTAGGGATCCCAGATTCCAAGTAGAAAACGTAATGAACGCACATCAATGAAACTCAGTTCAAATCTATATAGATCCAGTGAAATTGACTTGCCATCTATGCGGGGTTTACAAGGAATTCTATCTGATTTAAGCTATTTCTTTCTGGAATCACTGCGTTAAAGGGTTCTAGAGCTGAGAGTGCAAGGTTCCCACAAACACCTAACCCTTTTCCACACTTAAGTCGCACAATCTTGACCTTCAACCTCACCAGCTGCACACGCGAAGCAAACTTGTAAGCAGCTTGGCAAACAAGACCGTCCGTGATTGAAAGCCCTGAAAGAACTTTGGAGCTGTGCGGGGAGCTACATCCAAACTCAGAGAACCAAAAAGGAAAGTGAGCATTGTTGGATTGGGGTGTTTGAACCTCCCACCGTCGTGATGAGCGATGGAGGAACTGAGTATGCAGCTGAGACGAAGAGCCCGATGCGGGCTTTTGATGTTCACCATGAGGTCGTCCCTCCTGCAGCGAAGCAGCGAATGGGTCTTGCCGAACACCATGGCGCCATTTTGAAGCTCCTGGTCATGAAGACGATTGAGGCCACCACTGGCGGCAGCAACGGCGGCCCAGTATTGACTATTGACAAGCCCGAGTAGGCGGCCTTTCTCCGACACAGATTGTGCTGGGGCAGAACGTGGCCATTTCCTCTTCGTTGTTGGAGCAGCTCGAGAAGGGCCACGTGCGCTACGTCATGAATCAGGACCTGGCCTTTGACGAGGCCCAAAGGAGAATTGAGCGAATCAGACACGCGGCAGCGCAGGCCTTTCTCTGGGCCGACTCTAATGAGACTTTGAGGCGAGCTTTGAATTCTAAGACTCGACACCCACGCATGGAGATGCTGTGTGAGGGGGCCATGGTGTACTACTATGGGCCCCCTACCTCACGGAAAGGGCTACCACGACGACTACAAGATCAGACTTCGTGGACGGGCCCCGCTGTGGTCGCCGCCTTAGAGAGAAAGGAGGGCAGCATTAAGAGAGTTTTGATCCGATACCGGAACAAGTTGAAGGGTGTCCCTTTGGAATATGTTCGACTTGCCGCCTTGGAGGAGGTGGAGTCTTCCAAGATTTGGAGCTCCAAGGAGAGCAACCACAGATCGAGGAGATGGAGGGTCCTTCCGAAGGCTCCGATAATGGAGTTCAGTGGAGATGAGGTGGTGGCCAAGAACCCGGGCCATTGGGAGGATCAGCCCCGTGGTGTGCGACAGCAACTTGCAAGAGGCGGAGGCTCCTGGTGTTGCAGGCCCTCTGCAGCCCAAGAGGGTACGTTTTGAGACTGCCCAGCGAGATGCTGAACGCAGCTTGGAGGCAGTGACGGCTCGTTTTCCCCGTGGAAGATGAGGAGAGCATCAACTGGAACGCTGTCCTAGGCACGTCCGAACCTGCTGATCCTCGTGGACGACTACGTGATCAATCACCTCCCCCACCTCCAGTTTTCAGTACCTCGATACCTGCAGCCTTCGGCGCACATTCCCAAGGGCAAGGCAGAACACCGAGCCAACGAAGGAGGTGAACCTTCCACCACCCCCGGAGTAGCTTCTACAACTACGGCGCCGCCCCCAGTGGCTAGTCACCGAGCAGGAGTCTTTCACTTGAAGACTGGGCAGAGTTCTAATCGACGCTGGGTTCGTGCTTCGTCATTGGAGATGGTCGCCAAGTAAATGGAAAGAAGTGCCAGTCCTCGATTCTAAAACAAAGTACGACGTCCTCAACGACATCAGCAATGGCGAAGATCGCCGCCTTGCAATCGATGTGGCGATCCTCAAGGAGGCTATGTATGAGCCCAACGCCAATCGCTGGATCAGATGGGTGCCGGGGCTTACCATCCCTAGTGATGGCCTGACCAAGGAGTACGGCAGAGATCAGGTGATGCAAGGCGGGCATTGGAGTCTGAGGGATACGCCTGCTGCCCAGCGACTTCGCGAGATTGCCGGCCACCGGAAGAGGCCATGCAAGACCCGACGGCATGCTGACGAGGCACTCGAATCCGCAGAGCGGAAATGACCCCATGTCGATTACCAACGAGGGTTTGTGTCAGACTTTGCATTTTCACCAATCGACATGTATCTGCAGGCTACTGGGTCCAGTTGGGTAGATGGTGGAAAAGGAGTGCCGGGCGTCGCCCCTGCCTGGTGTTTTTGCGGTTGGGTTTTCTTGTGTAATTAAACCCGCTACTACAAAGCATGCCCATGAGCCGTCTGCAGCAAGCGCAACAGTGGGGCAGCAGATGCTTCCTACTGCAGCGTGACCACTTGCACAAAGCATCTCAAGGTGCACAGTGTTGTCCGATACTTTCTGGAAGCAACCGCACCCACCCGCAAAGTGGCGACCGCATCTTTGTTTCTTGAATTTCACTGTCTGAGACCCAAGCCCAAGCCCATATAAGTCAACAAATCCTAGAGAACCCACATCCTGAAAACAAGACCTACGATTGCCAGAAAAACAAGACCAACGATTGCAGGCTGCCTGCACAGGCCGACACGCGACCGAGGCGAAACACAGGCCACCACTAGCATCTTTGGAAGAGGGAGTAAGCATTGCTACTTGTCACATTTGTCTCTCGCAAGCTAGGCGATCCAAGCCGGATGTCATGTCGCTTTCCCTGTCACCTTTCCCTACAAATGCGCCTTTCAGCCAATGCCTAAGTTCCTAACTAGCTGATGCGGAGCCACAATGTCACATGCGAAGAACTTCTGGAGACATCAAATTTCACAGCAAGAGATCGCGAACAACGCTCTTTGAGAAAGCGCATCACGTAACACTGTGCAAACGACACGTTAAGCATGCTCTTCCGGTGGTGTCGAGATCTACTACTGCTGGCTGGAACCTCGGGACAAAGAACATTCCGTTGGTCGCAGCGGCAAGACCTAATCCTAAATCCTCAGTTTGCCTAACGCCTGCTTGTTGAATGCGAAGTTGCCGCTAAGAAGTCTGGGTCAGGGAAGGCTACGTGGGCTAAGCCGACTGACACAAGGTTCGAATGACAGGTTGCCTCCGGAGAAAAAGCACATGCAACTCACGTCCCTGTTCAAAACAATTGGGCTGCAGCAGCGCCCACTTTTGCTCCGCACGCGGCACAGAGTAAGCTACTCGTTCCACCTTAGTCAGGTGATCTCCAAGCCTCGCAGTGCATGTCTGCTGCGTTGCGGCAACCTGCCAGAGCTGTGCACATGCGAAATTGAAATTTAAACCGTACTTGTTGACGTTATTCCACGCTCAATTCATTGCAGCTGTGTGACAAGAGGAGGCCGGGCAATGGCTGTTCCTAGACAGTTGCGATGCAAGAAGCTCCGCACTGTACACTCTGCGACTCACATGGCGCAGCAAAACGGCCAATTGAAAAGCATCGTGCGAGTCCTTCGCCCCAGTAGCGGAATTGCTGGCAGCCTGAGCTTTGAGGCATTGTGACCCCAAAACCCTGTGTCAGCCCGAGCTCCTTACAGCTCTGAGAAGCATTCTGCGTGGCACCTTTCCACAAGGAGAGTGGACGAAGCTTTCGTCAACACCGAGCCCATGAAGCCCCGCATCGGATGCTATGTCAATTGGCCAGCGGGTACAAGGAAACTAATCCAAAGGGTGTCTTCCAAGCCACTCCTATCAGCTACTCGCAAATTCATAACGCCTCCAGTGGAACGCGGCCATGGCTGCATGGCTTGGGGCCTGATGAGCGCATACAATCACACGACTCTTTACACGCTGTGTCAGTCAAGACACCCAGGATACAGGGCCGTCTGCTGCCTTAGTCTCATCTCAGCACAGAATAGCAAGCTGCTTGAATGCACCTCTGGGCCCAGGACAGCACCACATGGTGTCCACGCTGCAGGTGAAGTTGTGGTGTTGAGAGTGGTTCTTGCACCTCAGCTACTTTGGAAAGTGGCTGGTGCACTTGCGAAAGCGTTTGTGGCCTGACCTTGACAAACAAGCGCTGAATCTGAGAGCTGCGCCTCCGCGCGTTGCTGAATGTGATGATCCACGGATGTTCTTAGCCAGAGCGCAGGCAACTCAACAAGCAACCACTGACAGTGACAAATCCAAGCTGTGTCCATCGCTCATCTGCGCTGGCAGGCTCTTTCGCTGACCCAGCCTCGCGCAAATGCAGCCAGCTTTCAATGCCTGGAAAAGCAGTTTGCTGCCAGGTTCCTTGCAAGCTCAGTAGCATGAACTGCACTGGATTCAGTCGTCCTGACAGACACAGCACTAAAGACCAAGAAGATCTGCGAAGCAACCCTGGATCCTGACATCATCTGCAGTAGATATTCGCGCGCTTGCCTCGATCCAGGACGAGGAATTACGATATGTGATACGAACTTCGAGTAGAAGTCAAAAGAACTCTGGGTTGGTAGTGCAGGTGTTGGAAAGCAATAGTTGGGACCTCCCCTAAAATGTACGCAGTGGGAGGACGCTCCACCATCTGTATTGGTCACGTACATGCCAAATGCCAGCTTGAGGCAGCAAAATATTTTCAGCATGTGTAGACACACGCAATGGTTATTCTGACCATTGCTGGTAAGAACCAGGCACTGTAATCTGCTACACAGACGCATAGCATGTTTGGGGGGGCATTGGAAAATCGACTGCGGGGCATAGCCAAGCCTCAGCACGCCCCCCAAATACATGGAAACGCCACGTGGATATGCCAGGGCTTGGAGGATAAAGCTTGATGATTTACATCTCTCACCAACGGAACTATACAAAGCAAGCCCACAAGCAGCTCAAGGACTCACATGTGTGCGACTCACAAAAATAAAAGTGTAATGAAGAGAAGGGAAGTTGCAAAACACCAAAAACTTAGCAAGCATCCGGGGCACATGTATGACGAGTTTTCAACAGGACGCTAGTGCTGTGGAATTCGCGCCCCCTTCGAAGATTGACAAAGGCATGCTTGCCACAGATGTCACGTGTGCGAAGATGCAATTGCAGGCGGAAAGAGCGGTATTATCGCAAAATTGAAAATATGTGACATGTTCGCCCGCTCTGGGTGGCATTGCTTTAAGTAGTTGCCCTGTGGGTCGCAGAGAAGTTGAACAATTTGGCCAGCTCGGGTCGCTCAGTTTCTGACGTTGGTTACTGCTTTGGCGCAATCTTATATGAAGCTACTTGAAGAGAGGCTGCCACATCTAGACTTGACTGTTCGAAAATGGCTTACCATGATGTCAAGCGGCAAAATTGGAGATAATTTAGGTTGCGAAATGCTTACTTTAACATTTTAATCTTTTGGAAAAGCTTGAGAAGGCGCGCCGGGAAAGTTTCTGCATCTGCTGGCGAAGGTGGTTGCAAAACCTGGGCTGCTGGCAGCAAGATTTTTCGAGAACGCGACACAAGCCCAGCTCTCAGAGTGCGGCCGAATTTGGACGGTGCTTTAGGATGGGGTTGTGATGCCTCAAACTTCTTGCGGCACGGTGCCAGACATAAATGGCGGGCAACCTGGGGCCAACGCGATTGACTGGCGCTATGCCTGCCAGAATATCTTCCTCAACCTTTCTAGCATTCATACTTCAGATGTTGCCTGTCAGGCGGTTGCCTGGGGAATCTGGGAGACTCCTGCGTCAACCAAGCTTGTTCGATAATTTTTCTGCAGCAGCGACTCAGCCGGGTCGGGCCTGGAGCTTGTCGTCAAAACGCACCCTACGCCCAGCTTGTGGGGCTTTCAGCAGGCCCTGCGCAAACCAAAGCAGAGCATGGAGACAGAGATAATTTCGATTTGAGACGCCTGTTGAGAGGCTGCAGTGCTTGCACCACTCCTGCATGGCCCACTGCACATATTCCGGCGTCTTCGGCATATGCTGCCTGCTAAAGCAAGGAAAGCTGCGCCTTGAGGACAGAGAGCTACATGGGGTAGTCCGAGCTCCTCCCAGAAGTCTCTTCCATGACGCCAGCCTGACTTTGCAATTTACTGAAGCCAAAGCTCCTTCGGCGGCAACCTCAGCAGCACGCGGGCATTCCAAATGCAAAATGTTCATCCAAGCTTCATATTCAGAAATAAGTAGATTTCTCCTGATGTCTGTTTCGCGTGCTCTTTCAACCTAGGCTAGGTGCGTCCATGTGGAGTCTAGGGTTCAAGATTTTCAGTCAACTCATGCTAGAGCTGCCAGGCTTTGGGTTGAGGCTGGCCGCGACCCACAAAACTTATCCTGAGCCTGACCCTCGATGCGGAAGGCTCCGGGTGTGCTCACTCAAGTTTAGGCTCCTCCAACTTTTTGCCCTCTCTGCCCTTGTCTCCTTTACCATGTTGACATGGTTGCTAAAACTTTCGAGGGGGTTCTTCGCCCGCTTTGTCGTTTACAGGTTCCTTTTGTCCCATGAGCACCAACCCTGTTCTTCTTTGAGGGCCATGTCCTTACACCAGCTCCCAGTCTGGTTTCCCAATGGGGTGGAGGATGCGACAGCAATTGCAGACGTCTGAGGAGGCAACATCTTTGGCCACCGGCTCAGGGTCAGAATTTACGCCTCTCCCGCATGCCTCTGCGCTGGCATGCGCTGGCCATGTTTCTCTGATACTGCTTCGTTGACTGTGCTGGGCTGCTGGGCCCGTGGCCACCCCGTATTTTGACAGGCGAGGGTCCTGCATGGCATGACATGACTTGTCAGGCTTAGGCTTGTGTCCACACATCAAAACTTGTGACGGCCTGGACATCGGGTCGAGGCCTCGAGCCACGGTCCAAAGAAGCATCTTACACCGTCTGGGCATGTTTGGGCGTCAGACGTGGTGAGCAACAGTAGCTCCTGAACACCTGACATCAGGCATGCTCAGGCACTGCAGCATCGTGTGGGGGCTGGACATGACGAAGCTCAGGTGCACGCAGTCGATCAGTAGGTCACGCTCACGGGTTAGGCTAGCCAAGTGATGCTGAGCCTCAAATTCAAGTGCAGATGCGCTGGTTGCCTATCAGCGTTCGAAGGCATGTTGCCAAAATAAGACATTATTGCATCTGTAAAGGTGTTCTAACCTTTTGCACAAGGTGCACAAGACTTTGCAGAGTCTTGCGCCTCGATGCAGCTGGATGTGACTGCATGCCTCACCCAAACAAAAGCGGACCCGACCCTGCACGAATGTCACATGTCACAAGTATATCTGATCCACACGAAAACCGTTACTGCATTCCCGTTCATTTGGAGTTTCAAGTCCACATTAGCAGAGCAGCAGAGCAGTGCAATAATGCTGCACTCCAAGCTCTGTGCATCTTGTTCTCCAGCTTTTCCAACTTCCGGGATCGCCGCCTCAATATGCACACTGACAAACGCATCTTGTGGTGTTAGCGTATGTGAAATTGCCATTGCCTGAAGTCACAGCGGAGTTGCGCGATGTCCTCTAGCCAACGTCCTCAGAACGTGAGTGGAAATGACGAGATTGACGAAAAGACCAAAAGGTTTCGCGCCAAGCCTGGCGTGTCCTCTTCACACTCGCCTCAGCAAAAAAGCGTCCGAAGTTCAAATCAGCTTTACAAGGCTTTGCTGCTTAGCTGAGGTTTCAGCGCAGCGCTTGCGCCTAAAACGCAGAGCTTGACAAATACATCGCAGACTCACAGGGACCCAGGGTCTCTCAGCTCCGCACTGTCTCGCCAAGCCGCGCAGCCCAAGACAGCCGGTCCTGCGGGCTACCGTATAGGGGTACAAACGGGCCCGCTGGTCACGCCTCCAGCCACCGCAGGTCCAGCTCATCCTGGTACGGACTGCATAGCACTCTACCTATAGCGGCAGCTGCCTATGGTGTAAGAACCTCTTCAAGGAGGTCCACGGTCTTCTCCTTCAAAGATCGACGTTCACAGTTGATAGGCATTGCTGTTCTCAGTCTCGCAGTATTGCCTCGGACAACGGTGGGACCTGCAAGGTCACGGCTGCCATGGCAAGTGAGCAGACTCTCCTCTGCTATGTAGCGTGAGAGACCTGATCACTCATGGGCTCATGTCTAGGGTGTGATGCTGCGAAGGCCTGCTTGTTGTCTGCTGCTTGCAGGTGACGTTTTGGAAACAAAGTCCACGCATGGTAAGCATAAGGCTCAGAGCCACAAGGGCTCAAGGAAAAGACTAAGCCCTTCTACCCAAGTGGCAAACGCTCAAAGACTCATCGGCCTAAGGACGCACGCCACAAACTTTTAAACTTGTGATCTCAGGCCCTATTGACCCGCGAATGCAAAAGAAAACTGGCCGAAAATCTTCATCCTCACCAGTGGTAGTAGGCCTGCCAAGGGGGGCGGGCAGGTGAAGGATCGTTTTTGGCAGACCGACCCCGAGTTTTGGGAATATCCTCCGCAAGAAGCTTTGCATATGCAAGGCAGAATTTACTTGCAGGGAACTAAGAGATAACTGACTGTGACGTAGCAAAGTGCATAATGTACAATGATTACGAAAGGCACATTTACAGAGCAGCTCACATGCCAGGCCAGCCCAGCCACCCAATACAGGGATCGCGATGATCGCGTTGTCGAACGTCTTGCCTAACCGCAAGAAGCTGCACTTCAGGGGCATCTGCACGTCTGCACTTCAAATCCTCTGCGGAACGCTCAACACGTACGGGTCACCGCCACAAAACCTTTTTGGAAAACAGCTCGGCAAGTTTTCGAGCACGGCCAGCTGTGCGTTTGCACACCGCGCTCGGCTTCACATCCTTCCCGAAAATTTGCATATCCTAAATTGTCCTAAAATTAAATGAGAGTTTGAATTAAATGGTCCGGGGTCCTGAGCCCTGCCTCAAATGCGATGATAGAATCTGCGGACAATGACACCACGAGCTGTCATCCGCTCTGTACACATCTCATGACCTTGCATGAATCGCTGCAGGATTAGGGATGGCTGTCCTCCTTCGCTGACCTGCTCGGACCTCAAGACTTTGCCCTCCCACCGGGTCTTCTGCATATAATGTAAGCCATCTGGATCAAAAACTTTATGCTCTGAGCCATCTGCTTTGATGAAACACCGCTCCTCTCTAGGAGGACCAGCTGCCGTGCAATTTAAAATCTCTAGCTCATCTCCTTTGTGGATGATGATCTGCATCTGCTTTCCGACTCCGTAGTCAAGGCCCTTGGCAACCTTGCGCATTGCCCATGGAGTCCCGCGCTCGCGCAAAAACTCATCCCAGTCACCTTCTACACGAGAGCACATCCACGTCCCATTGAAATCCGGGGATGTGGCAACGCTCTCCAGACTTTGTGATGACGGACCGCTAGGCGGCAAAAGTTCCAGAGACTCAAATCTCTCACACGAACCCTCTGCTGACACAGCACCGTCCGATTCTGCAGCAGCAGTTTCAGCATCTTCGCTGGCGTCATGCTCTGACTGAATTCCATCTTTGGCTTCCACCTTCAGATTTGGAATCACTTTCACTTCAGATTCCCTTTCTGGAACACATGCGCAAGTCCCCATCTGCAGATGCCAGCCACGCTACCACTACGCCAACTAAAAACACATCTTGCATAGGTTTCCTGGATTTCGCTTGGCTCTGCCGTCACTGTAGTCTTGCGAGGCATGTGCGACTTCTGACTTGTGACTACCTGTTGCACGGCTCTCAGCACACAAAGCCAGAAAATTGCTCAGCAAGCAGCATCAAGGTTTGCAATGCAAGTCGCACGACAAACCACTGCAAGGATGCTGAAAGAACTGCGACGGTTTGCAGCTGTTAGATGTTCATCATCCTCTGCGTAAACAATCTAGCAACAAGGCTATACTGACCATGTGCTTCCGCAAGCTCGAGGGAACACACATTATCCTGTGCAAGAACGAAACACTCAAGCGCATGGGACCGGAACCGCTATCACCCAACTGAATCGCATACAGGGCAAACAACAATGAGAATCACCTTGACAGGTAAGCATCAGGAAAGCTGGGGCCGCAAGCCGCCGAACGCTTCGGCGAGGGCGCAAAGGACGGCTAGTGTGGCCTCAAGCTTGAGATCTGTGAAGAGCAAGAGGATGTTGCGGTTCCATTGAGACCCACACCCGCGGCAGGAAGACCGGCGCATCCAGACTGCAGGGCTCAGAGATGGCTTTGCCGAGAACTAACAGCAGTTCAGACTCGCCTGAGATAAGCCACTATCAGAACTGCCAGGGTCCTCCCATTCCAGATGCCACTACTTCAGAAGCCTATATCTAAAAAGAATGGCTGACAGCACTTCTACCAACTCTCTTACTGGTTTCTGTCTGCCAGCACCAGCTTTGACGTGTCAGCGGTCCCCATGATGGTCTTGTTTTCGTACCACGCTCGATTAAAACCTCATGCATACCAGCAGCACTGTGGGATACTGTGGGTGTTCCTTACCGTCGCTTTCCGCGGCCTCGTTTGGAGCAGAATTTGCCAACTATTGCACCAGCCTCCGCTTGTTTCTCATGCCCCTGCGCTCACAAGCAAGTTTGGGCCCGGACTGGGTCTGCGAAAAACAAAGGGGCCAAAGCTTTCACTGGTTGCTGCATGTGGAACCTCGGCTGCGCTTGACATTCATAACTAGATGGAATGCTGGCGCACTCTCACATGGGACTCCAAGTACACAACCACGCGGCCACAATGAGCAAGTAAACAGTAATACCTGCATCAGTTGCGGAGCCGCAAGGAATGGCCTTCTCTGCAATTAAGACTTCATGTTCCAGCTAAGCAGATGATCACATATTCAAGAAGTCAGAGGCTGTCGAACGGTTCCGAACGTGGCACTTCATGGTGCACGCTGCTTGCCAGATATATTTAAGCAAAGCGGTAGAGTGTGACATCCGGACATTTGCCAAGTTGCAAAGATCGGCATGTTCCATCGAATGCTGTGTAGAAACAAAAACAAAGGCTTGCTGAGAATCAACCCCAGGAGAAACGAGCTACCAGCATGACGATGTCAAGTTGCAGTGACACTCATGTCGTCCTATTCGCCCCACTTGAGCCTACATCGTAGTCTGCACCAAAGCGAAAGGCTGGGACCTCGGCAAGGCGCATTTAATAATGGACGCGAAAATAATTTTGGTATGTTTTGTTGTTTCTTTTGTGATGTTTCTCTTGTTTTTTAGAAAGTCTCAGGCGAGGGCTCGATTTTACACTCAAAAATGATGAAGATGATGAGAAATCATGAAACATTGTGAAAATGTTAAAATGTTAAAATCATGAACGATCATGAGCAAACATGAAATATGGTGAAATAGTATGAACAATCATGAAGATTGTGAAAATGATGGAAAATCATGGACAATGGTGACGAAGATGAAAATTATGGCATATCATGGAAACTGCTGAAATATGATAGAAAATGATGCAACATGATGTATATGATGAAGAATTGGAAAACTCATGAAGTGGTTTAAAATGTTGACCGCCTTGAAAAAAGGGGGGGGTCGGGGGGGGGTGCAGCCCCCCATTTGCAAACAAAATGATCTGTGTAACCATCCCTCATAGTGATGACACGGCGCTTCTTTGACATGGAGAGCGTGGATGGCTTTAAAGAAAGGAGTGGGGCGGAGCGCAACCCCTCCGATGCGCAAACACATGACCTGTATAAGCACTCTTCATCGCAAATATGGTGATGAGATGGTGCTCCCTTGTTACAGCAAGCACGGATGGCCTTAAAAAGGGGGTGGGCGTTGGGGGGGCCGCCCCCCTACCTTCTGGCAAATAAGGAAAGAGGTGAAAGATGATGAAAACTATTAAAAGACTACGTCGTAGTCTTTTAATAGTTTTCAGTGACTACGAAAACCCATGAAGAGCGTGGAAAAAATGAGGAAGGATGGAGAATTTTTACACAATATGAAATTCATGAACAATCATGAAGGTTATTGAAACTGATTAAAAAAATATGGCAACTGCTGAAAAGGGATGTAAGATATGAAAATGCTGAAAATGATGACGAATTGTGACACGTGACGGACAACGGCAAGTACTAAGCAGAAAGAAGGAAGCAAGAAGCAAAAAACAACAATCGCAAATAGCAGCGATCCGGAAGCTGAGCACTGTCAACGAGAAAAAAACAAAGCTGAAATAGAGAGCAATAAGCACTCAGCAGATTGCAGGCATCAAGAAACATACCGTTGTTCGTGCAATGCACGAACCAATCACGAACCCAAAATGTGCTTGGCTGCTTTTCTGATGCGGTGGGATGTCGCCTGGTAACGGCGGGGGGTCCTCTGACGCCCCAGAACTCCCGGCCCCCGTGCTACCCCCCCCGCGGGGGATCGGCCGTTGAGGCCCACCCTGAAAGAAGAGCAGAACGGCCGCATGGGCGGATCGCCTGCATAACTGTCTCAAATCCGCCGGGTCGGGCGGGTGGATTTAAAGGTGGTTTGAGCGTTCGAGTTGCGGTGCATGCTCGATCGCTACATGTTCCAATGCACACAGGCGTGCTCTCAAACATACCGCTGTACGTGCACTGCACGAACCCAAAATGTGCTCAGCACTATTTTCTGATGCCGTGGGATGTCGCCTGGTAACAGTGGGGGCTCCTCTGACGCCCCAAAACTCCCGGGGACCGGCGGGGCGCATACTACCCCGCCCGGCGCCCCGTTCCCCGCACCGCGCCGGGACCGAAAAAGAGAACTGAACCTAAATGGAAGCCAAGTCAGCAGCTGCCTGATGGATGGCATGCTCCAGGTCATCGGCCGCCCAGGAGAGGATCTCGAGGACGGCGTCAAGGCGGGCGTCCGCCTGTTCCCAACCATGGCGGATCGCCACGGAGCAGACTGGAGATTGGGTCCAATGTTGGCTTCGGATGTCACCCTGAAGAAAGTGGCCGCCAACCACATCGGGCTGCCAAGGACCAGAAAGCGGACAGGATGCCTCCCGCCCATAACTTTTGTTGAGTGCCCACTGTTGAGTGGCGTTGTCAATGAAGGCGATCCACGCCTCGCCCAGGTGATCCGCCAGGGTGACGACGGCCAGTATCTGAGCCAGCACCTCCAGCATGTAGACGTAGGCCCGCCTGGTGTCGAATTTGCGGACAAACCAGTCGGGACTGAGCCAGAGTCATATAAAGACCTGGTCGCCTGACCGGACGACGTTCCCCAGCCGTTGGCCGCATTGACGGCCATATTGGCCGCGGCCGGGACAAATCCCACCTTCTGCCTGGTTTCCCCGTCCAGGAAGAAAGGCATCTGTGTAGATGACGGTTGTGGCCGCTTCCGCGGTCGTAAAGGGCTGCAATGTGGGCGGTATGTCTCGCAGTATCCCGCGCAGAGAACGCAATGCTGCCTGCATGCTCGGCTGCGCGATGAACAAGAGCGCCCGAGTGAGAAACTGGACGGCATCCAGACGGAGGCTGCCGCTCCAAAACACATCGCGAAATCACCGGCCACTGGCGGTATAAGGCCTTCAACATGTCGATGACAAGCAGGCCGCCATGTCGGCGTAGTCGGAGACGAGGTGGTGTGGGGGACATCGGTCGCGCGTTGCGGCGCGACCTCCTCCAGTCCTCATCACGGCAGAGCTTGACGCCCCCCGTCTTATTTTCCTGGACGATGGCGAAGGATGCCGCCACGATCTGCCTGGGTGGCTCCACGAGGGTTGAAGCCCGGAACGCTGGAACACATCGCCGCGGCCACCTTCAGGCGCCCTGCGCTGCGCAGGCGGCAGGCGGGCCTCCTGGACCAACTCGGCCAGCAGTGCTTGGGAGTGGTCGCCCACATGGGCAGTAGCCAGCTTCTGTTTGGAGGTAAGACCAACTATCCGCCCGCAAGACGTCGCAACGAGGTGGGCGAGTGATATCTGCCATCCGCTCTGGGCGGCCACGCTGGGCAGTGGCGGATTTTGCCCAGCATGTCAAAACCCTCAGTAAGGTCCGCGGTCCGGTAGCCCAGCCCAGCATTGAAAAGGGAGGCGCCTCCAGATTGGTAGTCCAGTGCTTCACACGTCAGCCTCTGGCAAGGGTGTTTCATCCTGTGTGTGAGCACCGCTTCGCCCTCGCGGTCTTGCGCAGGGGCAGCTGGAGAGTCACGGCCCCGGCGACAGCGCCTGCCATCGATCTCCCATAGCATGAACCACGTCGCCAACGCCAAAACGTCAGCGCCATGGGCGGTTATGGTGAAGTCCAGCGGTGCTGCCGGCGCTCTGGGGATGATGACCTGGACGACCACCGTGGGGTCAAAGGCGTCCTTGAGCACAGCGCCTCCATGGACGCTTGGCGAGGCGCTTGAGGAACTCCGGTCAAGGCCTGGAAGTACAAAGAGGAGTAGCTCGCCTTGTGAAGATGGCGTCCGCCGCTACCAGCCACGACAGTTGAAATCGGCGCACAGAAGCTCCCATGTGATAACCGCCTCGAGGAGGGGGCAGCCTCCACCGCGAAGGCTGCTGGTTGTAAAGCCAACACTGCTGGATGTCCCCACCCAGCCAGCTCTGTCTACGCGCGGTGAGGTGTTCTTGCAGCCGATGGACAGCTTTCAGCCGTTCCATAGTCATCATGGTGGCGGTCGGAGAAGGGGCCGCCCCAATCATGGGGCCAGACACAGAAATGACCTCCGTATTCACGGTGGTATGAGAAGCATTGCTCAGGCTGTCCACCGGGTCCAAGCGGTAGGAGGATGATTTGCCAGTCACGCCTGCTCCACGAGGGCTGCTTCCGCCTTCGCTGCCAGAGTCAGGCGGTGTGTCGATGAGAACCCCGAAGACCACTTGGCAGGTATCATCGCCCTGAGCCGCAAGGCGGCGGAGGGTAGCGGCCGCAGAAGATGTAGAGTCGGAGACCGCCATGGCTCAGGCGGTTGAAACTACAAGCGGGGAGTTCAAAGGCGGTTTGATCGTTCGAGCTGCGGTTCATGCTCGATCGCTACATGTTCCAACGCACACAAGTGCGCTATCAAACAGAAAGCAAAAAGCTGACAGCAAAAAATAAGAAGCAAGAAAGATAAGAAAGAGAAAGCAAGAAGCAGCAAGCAAGAAATAAGAAGCATCAAAAATCATCCTTTAAAAAATAGATCCCCTTTGATAAACCAAAGTCGGAGACATGGACGGCCATTCAAGGAGTCGCAGGAAAAACACATTGAGCCAAGAGCAAATGGAGTCGCTACGGACGGGGCAGACCCTACAAATGGAGAATAGCATACGGAAAGAAGGAGAGAAAGCTACCAGTATCAGCAAAAGCTGGCATCTTCTCGGTGGCAGCGCATAGACGGAATGCACGGAACTAACCTTTTTTTGCTGCATTTGCTCAGGCTAAGACCCACTTCACCAGTCGCCAGGTCATGGTCAGAGACGTGGCCACGACCAGGTAGACATAGGCTCTGAGCACAGGCAACGGAAGGCGCGACTTCGCCTGAACTCACACAGAGAGGGCCTTGCCAAGGGATCCCGTGAGTCTAGAAGAAGCATCAGCGCTCCGCTGCCAGCATGGCAGGCCTGCAACCCGAACCGATTGTCTGGTTTCAGAAAGCCAAAAAGCTCCCAGCAGCTCTCCCAGCCTTGCGTGCTGCAAAGAGGGAGGGCAACGCCTGAGCGGCTGAGCGGCTCAACTTCTCCACAGCTTTTCTCGGCACAGCTGCTCAACTCTTCACACCCAGCACTCCCAGCCTTTTCCCCAAACTGTAGGAAAATCAGCAAGGCCGTTTGCCTGGTCAAAGCATTCCAACAGAGTACAGCGTTGCAATTCCAAAGTGCTCGTCTGGCCCTTGGCCACCCTTGAAAGAGATGAGACCGGGGCAGCGCAATCACTGTCGTCACATGCAGCTCCATGGCAGAACGGTGGAAAGCCAAACAGAAGGTCAAGCCCACGAGTTTGACTGTGAACCCCAATACGAGGCGCTTAGAAGGAATGCGGATGGCCTAGCCGCCTTCGCTAAGCAGTTTCTTGCTGCCACTGAACAGATCGTGGATGCTCTGCCTTTTTCGGCCAGTTTGAAACTGGAACCATTACAGCTGCAAACAGGCATAAGACGTTCCTCCCTTCCTCATGCCGAACCCAGACAAAGAAATCCTCTCAGTGCACAGCGGCCCTTTCCTTTTTTCGTCTGGAAGCCTACTCTCAACAACGCGCCACTACTCTGTGGACTGCTGCACGGCATCTGCAGCTGCATCCTGCATGCGATAGAGATATACAGCTGTTGCGGGTGGTGCATTGTCCGTTGGCCTTGAGCCGAGGGCCAATGAGGAGTTCCATTTTCCCGAGCAGCTCCTCCTCCACTTCGGGCCTCAAGGGACACGAATCCTTTATTTTGCAAAAGCATTTCAACATGGCTCCAGCACGCTTGCTGGGCCTCGCGCTGAGCACCCCAGGCCTCCAGCCAGCCAGTGTCAGTCCGATGGACAGCTTCTCGCGTGAGAACTAAGGCCAAGACGAATTTCTGCAGGAAACTCGCCTGACCCGCCTAACCGAGGCAGCTTTGGCAGCGCCGGATGCAGACCAGGCACCAGGCTAGCAGCCTTCTCTCCAGTCGTCCACCACCACCCGACTTTCTGGACACCTGAAATGCAACAACAAGCGGAGCCTCCACAGCCTTCCTGAACTCGTCATGCCTTGGCTTGGCTGCCCTTTAAGTGTCCAAAGGTCCTGCAGACAGGTAGGCATGGAGAGAGCACAAAACCTGCACTAGTGCTGAACATTCTAAAAGCTTCCTTGAGGGTCAGCTTTCGCACTGAATCTGCATACTGCACTTCCCACTCCTGTCATGAAAAGCACGGAATGCGCTAGTCCCGCTGCTCAAGGCGCTTGTGTGCGAGCAAGCGGACAGCAAAGCCTCTCTGCGGAAGAAGAATTTGTAGGACTCCTTGCAAGCAACAGCACGGAAAGTCGACTGTAGGGCATTGCAGCGCTCGCAGGTGCCTTGAGAATCTGACATTCACCGACAAGCCAGAACCTAGAGCTGCAAACGTCGTGCCGTTCAACTCGCTTCTCATGCCTCTGCTATCTCAGCCAGAAGCCAGTCGTTTTGGGTGACTTCATGCTCTGGGTCAATGTCCGCGCCCTTTGCCAGTGCCCATCTGAAAACGTGATGCAAGAGGCTGCTCACGGCCTGGGTGGCTCCCAAGATACCCAATAAGAAATGAACCTGAAGAGCAGCATGGTGTGCCAGGCAAAATTCCAATTCAAACCAGCCTCATTGCTGGAAACTTCGAAGCCCAAGGACTCCAGAATTTCTGGGACCTGACAGCAGCCCATCCACTCTTCCGGCTGTCTGTGGTTGCCATCTACCACATGCATGAGACGTGGAGCACCTGAGCAGCTGGAATTGTCGTCCTCTCCTTGGCATTTTGGCCCCAAACCTGCCAGGAAGACCGGAAACATAGATCCTACAAGCATGGCCTGACGGGGAACGCTAAGTGAGCGAAGCACAACCGTGCTCGACTGTGCTTGATCAACCCACCAGGCCACCCCGTTCCTGACTCTCGCCTTCTTAGCCGTATCACGGTAAGGTTCGAGTCCTATTTTCCCCGACTGTTCATCGAAGCTCACGCATTCGTGTTTGAGCCGAAAACAATTACTTTGCATTACTATGTGTTATGCAGCTCGCGGTTTCTGAACGCTCCCTTTTGGCCTGTGTCCAAGCCCACCTTCAAGCCCCTCCCATTTTCCCTGCACCTACCGGTGCGCATGCCCTTCCTCTGCTGCGAAAACGATGGGCCTGTCTGGAACCCTGGCACGAACCTGCTTACGGGGAGATTCTTCCTCAAACACACTGCGGAATCCTTCAGCCCCAACCGAGTCTTCCCCAACCCCACTAGGGCAGCGCAACCACCATCACCATGGTCGCCGCATCACTTGCTCCAAGCAGAAGCCCGACCGCATTGCTCTGTGCTGTCCTTGTGTCGCTCGTGCAAGCGGTGCAGCATGCACGCTTCCATGGTGCGAAACATGAGACAGGAACACAAGGCATCCATGTATCGTAATTTTCCTGCAAGCTAGCTACGAATCTACTAATTTCAGGAGCTGGCGCAAAGAGCAGACCACGCAACAGGAGACAAATGCTGCTCGGGCGATCGTTCTGGGAAGAGCAGGGCAACCTCCCTGCGAGAGCAAGCACACAAGCGCATGGCTGACCGGGGGGGGGGGAATACGCTGCGATCGAAAGGCAGGTCTTCAACTGGCCCGGGCTACCCCGGGAGCTTCATCCAAGACAGGCTTTGGATGTGTTTGCGATGAAGTGCAATTCGTAGTTGCAATGAGAGGGGTAGCATACTGGGGCCCTCATGTTGCAATGAAAAGTGGAGAAGCCACCATTCCATGATGTTCATGATACCTTTGTACCTGCCGACCCAACCCTCGTGGCAGGGTTGCCAGGCCGTGGGCTCAGGATTCAGAGTCTGTACAAAGCAAACAATTGCAAAGCTCGCGTCCTTGGTGGCTTTGCGTTCAAGTCGTCCGTCCTGCAATGCGCTTGTTGACTCTTGAAGCTAGCAAGGACTCTTGCAGCCACACAAGTCCCCAGTTCCTGTGCTTTTTCCAGTGCAAGCAGAGCACGATCCTTTCTTATTTCTTGCGCTTTCTCCTGAGATGTGAAGGTGGCACGACGCAGAAGCTACGGATCACAATTTTTCCAGAAATGCTTAAGGACAGTGCTGGATTCCAGCTCATGCTGACCTCCTGCTAGTCAACCTTCCCCATCATCATAAAATCCAGTTGCAGAATGACTACTACTAGTCCTCCACCTCCTCCTCCTCCTCCGACGACGACGACGCCGGAAACGGGTGCGTTGCCAAGGACTTGACAACTCCTGCAACAACCCAAGAGTTCCTATTCCCTAAGCGTACTGTACCAAAGCACTGGCAGGGACAGTACTTTTAGGGTTCTCGGTATGTTATGTAGGAGTTTACGGGGATGAATTTACAAAAGTTCATCCCCAAATTGCGCACCCCTCTAGAAACACAGTGAAACCATGAATCCTAAAAGCATTCCCCGTGGCTACCCCTCAGGGGCAACCTCTGGACTCCATTATTGGGGTAATATTGGGTACCATCTGGGGATCTTTGAAGGTGTTTCTGTTGCAATGCTGAAAGACGCACCATCAACGAGAGCCCCTTTGTGCCTCATTCAGCGATCCCGTGAAAGCAAGGCAAAGCGATCAAAACGAATGAGGCAAAGGAACCCAGGGCTGCTCAAAACCGGCATCATGCTGACTGTGCTATACTGTGCCTCGAGAAGACACACAGCATGGGCACCCGGAAAAAGCACTGGTGGATGCCTCTGGAAGTATAATATGTTGGCTGTATTGCATTCGAGGATCTTGCACTGCTTTGTTGTGCTCCTCAATCTCGGCATCGGACATGTCTTGCAGTTTTTTCTCGGCAATAATTGGAGTGGCAAGCTTGGAACGCCACGCCTGAAGGTTGAGCATGGCAGCACACGGGCGACTATCGCGACTGAGGATGCTGCTTCAGGTGACACCTAGGATGATCAGGGCAAGAGAAAACAACGAGTGCAAACTCAAGCATTGCTCGACAACGCACAGGACTCCTCACTTAGCCCTTACGTGCAGCCCAGGCGGCATCCCGCTGGCGACAAAGTTCTTCAAAGGCAGATGGCGCCATCTCAGCTTCTAGTCCAAGGAAGAATCTAGAATCTAGACCCTTCGCCAGCTGCAAAATTCTAGTTTGAGATCAGCAGGATCTCGCTTGACTGTCTGCTCTGCTGTCTCCTCATTTGCGAGAATATTATCACGCCTGCACGAGCAAAAACGCAAAGGCGCCGAGCTCAACTGTAAGGAGCGCATTTGTGCTTGCGCGAGAAAAGCACTCAAATCTTCCCTCACACCACGGAACTAGCTATGCTTCCGTGAGGGTGGGTATTGCATAGATTCTATACACTTCTATTCGGTTCACGAGTTCGCGAGGCTGCTTTTTGAACACATGGCCATGAGGTGAAACGGTGGGTCCGCGGTGAAACATCCATGAAACATGCGCGAGCAAACGTCTTTCGCGCAATGGGGAGGATCTCATGTGGCCTGACCTGCAGGGTGCGTCCAACCTTGGGGCGCAACGAAGCTATCCACGCCGCTCACCTTGCATGTGTCAACATCATCTCCAGGATCGAGGTAGAGGGCATCCGAGTGCAATCGAGCCGCATCGTCACTGGTGAAGCGCTTTCGGAAGACCATCTGCAGCTTTTCCTCTCGCTGACTTGCAGTAAGCCCCTTACGTGTGAAGAGTGCAAAGGGAGCTTTGAAGCGGCAAAGCCTGCTTGGTATCCAGCTCTTGGACCATGGAGCTGAGACTTTCATGCTGTTGGGCCTAGAGTTCGCTGCACTCCGCGCGACATTGCTGAGAGATGCTCAGAGTTAGTCATTGTCCCGTCTGAGCATTCGACGGTGTTGGTCTCCACGTCTGCAAGCCGTGTCTGCAACTCCTGGGGCAAGATTTGAAAGGCATCAGGAAAGGGGGAGGAGAGTTGACCTGCTGTGCCTCGCGCAAGGCTTCTACGTCTGCATACAATTTCAGGCCACCGGCAGTGATGAACTCCTCTCTCAAAACCGATGCTGCAGCAACAGCAATTACTGAGAAAGGTCTTGGTCGCCTCATCTGAGACACCAGCACCCCTCTTGAAAAGCTGAATGGCTTTTCGCGTTTCTTTCGGAACACATGCCTCTCAGGAAGGTCAACTGGAAATGTGGATGCAGTCTGAAAGATTCTGCGCGACCTCCATACAGCCAACAAGGACCTTCAGCTCCTGCACCTCACGCAAATCCAAAAAGAATTTTCAAGCTTCTTGCAAGAGGTCCTGTAGCTGGCATGCGAGCCTCGCGGCGCAGGTCTTGCTTGAACACTTCCTGGAGATTTCTCTATGCCGGCATGTACAAAAACCAAAAACTTAGCACATCAGCAGATGCTTCGCCTGGTCTTCCTTGACGATAATGAGCTGGGGAGGAACCTACCGCACCCGGCAATGCGTGCTTGTTTTGTTGCGGTATAGAGGGAGGCCTCGTTGACAGCATCCACATCGAGCTTGCCCAAGATTTGCTCAAGGTTCTGAACTTTCTGGAAAATCTGCGAGCAAAGCCCCAATTAAGCAAGGTCGTAAGACCAGGCTTTCTGTCTCAGTGTGCCAAGAGCATCCCTACTGACGGCAAAAAGAACTTCCTCGCCTCAGTGCTGCCCGTAGCTTGCTCAAGTAGCTGAAGTCGAGCCTATCCATGGCACAAATGTGAAAGGGATGAGGAAATCTGGATGCGGGAAAAGCCTCCAAAGTAAGCCCTTGGCCCTTTGCGGCCAGAGACCCAACACCTTAGCAAGGCAGCCAAGCTCGTGCCTATGTACCCCGTGTACCCCGGTGCACTTGGCTCCTTTCATGAGACAACCACGGTGCTGAAGCCAGTCCAGGGCATTTGCCGACTGTAAAGAAATGTCCTGCATAACCAGGAGCGACTGAAGTCAGGAGGGACCATGCTTTGAATCGTGTCCTCCGATGGCACATCGCCTGAAATGTACTTTGTGATTTGCGTGAGGGTCGAGCGCCTGCAAGTTCACACACAATCGCACGGGTGGCAGCTCTGTTTGGGTCCAAGCATCTGGCAACGTGGAGACTTGTGGCAAGACGTTGGCTGCCATTTCCTCGATGGACCGGTGCACTTTGCAAGCATGCGGAAGCATTACATCTGAACACCTTGCGCAAAAGGCGATATGCTTTGCAAAAGAAACGTCTCCTCTGCGAGGGACGCATGGCTGGACTGCAGCTCAGATATTGGCGCCTGACAAAGCGACAAAGCATCGGCAAACAAATCGAGACTTTCTCTTGCCAGCGATCAGGCCTCCCAGTCATTCCCCTGGACAAGACGACATGTTGAAGTGTGCCATCAGCAAGACAACGTCGTTCCAGCCTGCGCTGCCTTCATGCTCCCTTCCCTCTGTCCTCTACGGCCTTGTTCCAGTGCACAGTTGTGCCAAAAGACATGAAAGCCTAAGCGCATGGCCTTCCATACGGCTGAGTCGCGTTTCGAGCTGCCATGAGAATTTTCAGTATATCTCATGCCAGACTTCGGGCAAAGCTGCAAGCGGCTCTTGCTCTTGCTGGAGCCTCCGAAAGTCTTTGCACAGCCATGATGTGGGCCTTGACCAAGACAATCGATTCTTTGGCTTCGGAAGCGCGAGCCTTGCGCCACCAACCTGGTCCACATCTGTGAACCGCTGCCATACAAGAGCATCACTTTCTTTGGCTCCTGGGATTGGAAGCATGTCATCGTACGTGCGTCATGAACTCAGGTCTAGTACAAATTACGAAGCCCCGAGCCTGTGTTAGCTGGCGGCGGGATTGGCGGCTGTACTTCATCGCCTGAGGTCTACATGTACCTCTTGCCATTTTACCCCACCAACCTGAATTGGATACCTGGGAATCCTCGGAATTACTTCTGAACCCCATTCGACAACATGCGCCCTGGGAAGCAATAGGTGCCCAGGCTACGCGACTGAGAACTTCGACACAAGTGAGTGTGATGCAAGTCCAGGTGAGCTGTCCACAAAGACGGCAAGATCGACTCCCCAGGTCCTGGCCTCGCTGCCCTTGCTGAAAACCGTGGACTCTGTGCTCCAGCTGCTCCACTCGCGACCTCACAGGCGGGAAGGAAACCATTCCGGAGCCATGTGACTTGTCTGAACTGCCAAGTCGCTGCAGCGCCAAGTGCATGTCTACCAAGCCCGAAGGCCTTTGGCATTTCCAGACATCAGAGCTGGCGTCGAAAGGAGGTTGCACGTCAGTAGCGCAGACCGTTGCACCTCCTTTCCACGGGCATTGTGTCCTCCGGCCTACAATGCAAAGGATACTACTGCTATGAGGCGCACAGTTACAATGAGATCGGCGTCTCATGCTGCACACATTCACACAGTTTTTACTCCCAAAGCTGTACCAAGGCAGCTTCTCCCTTGAGCCCAACACGCGGAAGGCGTCGGTATTGCCCTCGGAGCCTGCTGGCGGGTTGCAAAAGCACCAACTTTGAGTTTCCTGACTGCTGGGATTTTCGAACCCGGCTTCGTGTTGGTGAGCTTGTCGCGCCGCGGTCTCTGCAGCAGATACTGCAGCCTGCAGCACTAGTTTGGGGGGTCCGGGTAGATCTCATTGCTTTGTTCAGGTTCACAGCTCATGGGCTACAGGTGTAGAGTCTTTTTCCTTTCTTCAACACGCTGCTCGGTCTCAAGCTGAGCGATGCTCAACACGGAAAAAGAGGACAAAATTCCCCAATGGCTACTGAAGCCAATGCCAGTGCCGCTCCTGTACTGTTTCATGTTTCTTGCCTGGGGGTTACTCCTGTCGTCGTCGTCTATTCGATGACATGTTCGATGAGGTACTCGCTGAAACACTTGCCCAATCTGGGAACTGCGGTGTCGCAACCATTTCAAAGGATTCTCGCATGATCGGATGTTGTTTGGAAAGGGGGCTCGCGGAGCTCAGCCCTGTTTACTGATGCTGCTGGTTGCTGGTCTCAGATTGAAATCCAGGGTGTATGATAGCGTATGCATCACTGCAAGATTCCAGCAACCAATTTGCTCTCGGATTCCCAACCCTCCTTGTGTGCTCTGTTCTCGGGGCATATGTTCCCTGCTCGAAGAGAAAATCATGCATTGGGTCAATTGGGGTGCATCTTAGTAGGTAACCTAGCAATGTGATTTTTCTTGGCTTCCATTTTGCTGCCAGGGGTACATGTTTGTGTCCATATTCCTGACCCAAGGTATTGAGGACTCCATGGCTGGTCCATTCTGTCTAGGTGTGCTGCTGGTACATTTAACACACGTCGAAGCATGTTGGTTTGGAACACGTGTAATTGATCATGCTCACGTTGCATGAGTTATCGTGTGAGTGTGCGTGCCGAAAAGCAAAGTGTCGTCAGCGAGTAAAACCATATAAACCTTCGGCATAGTGCATGCCCGGTATTGGTTCTTGTTGCTTGGGCGTGCTCAGGCAGGCTTTGCTCATTACTACTCAAACAAAAATGGTGATGATGGGGTTCCTTGACGGATGCCTGAATTTGGCATTGTTGTAAATGTTCGAAATTACTTTGATAATACAATCTGGTACGGAAAGGCGAGACGAACCTTCAATCAACTTTGTGCGGCTTACTTTGTCGCATGCCTTTTTCCCCAATCGAATAGAATTAATGATGTGTTTGTGCCTTGGCGCTCGGTCATGTTCATGAATCTTCTGGCTATGAAAATACCTGCCATGGACTTTTTCTTGCCGAAGCCGTATTGGGCTTTTGACATCCATGGTTTCGGTGCGGGCTCTATGCGGTTCTCAACCAGTGCCGTCAGGATATTGTAAAACGCCTGTAGAAGCGCAATGGACGAGAATTGTCCAGTTTTGCTGGATCCCTTTTTTCTCCAGATGGGTGCAAGGCTTGCCCGGTTCAAAGAGTCAGGGTACTTACCATCCAACAGAACATCGTTATACCGAGCCAGTAGTGCTTGTCTGTTGTTATCGTTCAGGGATTTAATAAAGTTCTGTAGGGATTGCATCCAGTACAAGGCTTTTTTTGGATTGCAGGTTCTTAATCACAATATTCAATTCCTTAAGTTCCCACGCAGCTTGCTTTACCGTCGAGCCAACTTGCAAGAGAGGTATACGGAGCGGTATCTGTGCATCTTCTGGTTGTTTCCACTGAACGGTAGCCAAGTAGTCAGCCGCTGCAGAGGGAATCTATTCTCTGCGATGTAATTTCCGTCTATCACGAAATTATGTATGCTTTGGGTGATACTGATACTTTGTCTATTTTTTTGAGCCCATGCCATTTGTATCCCTGCACATCCATTTCTTCCAGCTGTGATTGCAGATGCTTATGCTTATGCCGTCTGACTTGCTTTCGGATCTGTTTTTCAAACTCTTTGGCAGCCTCCGTTTCACCTACTTGGATTTTAGCACGCTTTTGACAATGCAATTCCAAGTTGCACTGGCAATGTAGCTTTGCTTTTGTTCGACCGGTATAGGCGTGAACACAGCTTGAGTGGATTCATGCAGAACTTCAAGGTTTATAGCGGGCACTCATAAGTGCACACCAAGCACACAAAAGAGGCTTGTATTAAGTTGGCGGTGGCAACTACTGACGATGCGACACTGCAGACATGAGACACATGCTGCTGCAATGGCTTGAGGCAATACCGCGACGCTAACATAGTAGCATGTGTAATCTTGTGTACGTCACGGCCTTCAGGGTATCACTCTGCACTCCCGACTCCGACATCATGACACTGAGATGGGCCTCCACCTGGCATGTGCCCATACTTAGCCCTTCTTCACCCCGAACATGATACAGGAATGTAGGAGCGCTGGAGAATGGCACAGTCCCAGCCACCTTGCAGCGCAGACCCTCAAAGCTGTCCTGGCACACGAGGGTTTTGATCTAAATCTGAGCGGTGCAAAATTCGTTTGCCTGGAGTTGTCGACGATCTGCTGACAGGCTGCCCTCGAGCAGCTGCGACAAGGAGGAAATCTCCTAAACGCCAAGGAGAAGGCACAGTCTGAGTCTCAAATCCGCAGCTTCTCTCTTGACATTTGCAACATCCTAGGCGGCAGGCCTGCTTGTTTTGCTGAGACATCTGGTCCAATCTCCGCATCACCTTCTCGTCAAAGGCCTGCAAGGCATATCTGGCAAACCTGGAGCATGCTGACAGAGCACGTTCCTGAAGATCGGCATGTTGGAGTCGGCTCTCGACAGCTGCCGCCAGTGCTCCAAAGCCTTATCTCGCTCACTGACTCTGACATTGTTGAGCCTGATCATGAGCCTCTGATCCAAGCAACGAAGCTCAATCTGCGCTTGCTCGGCGCTCCATCGCTGCTCTTGCTGCCACAGCTGTATACGAACATCCTGCACATGCTGGCTCTTACTTTGTCATGAGTTCGTTCAAACCACCGTCCTCAGCATCTGGCAGCACCACCTGTGAATGTCGACGCAAGGGTTTAGCCATTTCGCATGCAGCTTCCGCAAAGCTGGCCTGAGGCTGGGAAGCTTTGGCCTTGGCCGCCTCCTGGCATGTAATTCAGGAGGACATGTCCCTTACCTCTTTTGCCTCTCAAGGTTGGATGGCCTGAAGGTTTTGGACGTGCTGGAGGTGTTGGACGTCTGACTTCAACTTAAGGCCTTGCCTGTTGGAGCGGCAGCGTCTTTTCTATGCTTGCTTAAACCCGCTGTCTGCGTGATGGCTGGGGGAAGCACTGCTGCAGAGATTGCACTGCTCCGTAAAGCCAAGACCTTACTTCACCCGCACATGACTCTTTCTAGATGCAAGGATCTGTGTAGGGAGCTGACACCGAGGCATGAAGCCGATCAGCCTGATGATCTCCGCTTGCAAAACTACGACACTGCCAGGCGTTCTCCAAACGAAAAAAGCCTACCATGCACTTGTCTCTTGTGCAATGTCTGGAGTCTAGAGCAATTGAAGTGCAATAAAGTCCCACCACCTCCAACTCCACCAAGGGAACCCTGAAGTCCAGAAGCGAAGACAATGGTGGAATAGGAACCTGCGTCGAGACTATACAAATGTACATTTTGACAACACACACTTGAGTCGCCAAAGCCTTGCCGATGTAGATGTCCTGAGAAAACTCCTTGCCAGCACATCCTAGAAAAATGCTGCAGTGTTTTCAATGGCAACACTAGACTGCCGACAAAGCGCCAAGGCTTGTACAGTGAAATTCAGTTCGTGGGAAGGTTCCCATCGGCTCCCGCCCTCGAAACGGATCGGCTCTCGTTCGCGGGATGTTCGTACATCTGCGGCCAGGCTCCGACTTCGGGCCGCACATTCTGCGGCCCCACGCAAGTACAACAAGGGCATGCGTGGCTGCTTTGCATTGCTTCCATGGATACATGAGAGCTGGCCTCATTCCGAATGACATGGGCACTTGTTTCCACTCTCAACTACTCATGGCATGTGAATGGTAACAAACTGAGAAAATGTGTGGAGGTATAGGTGTGCCCCTGCGTTTTTGGTCTCCAACGTGATCATCAGTTAGTTCTCCCGTCTTGGCAGCTCCACGATACAGCACCTCATCATGCCACTTGTCAGCTCATATGACGCTAAATCAGTCCTCCCTTTTGGGGGTACTGCGCTGCAGCACACTCATGATGATTCAAGGCCCACAACCTCCGTCTCGGGAGTTACCAATTTCTGATCTTCAAGATTGTGACTTTGTGATAGATGCCAGCTTTTGACCGGTGCGCAAGACATCCTAATGCAGCAAAAGGCACGGGCAAACGATACAAA